ACTGTGGCCACACATTGTTTCAATAAAACATATTCGTCCCACTCATGGGTTCTTGGCTGTAATCCGATCATTTATCAAAACATGCCTCAGAGAACTTTCTTTAGGGATAGTTGAAACATTTCCCCATTTTTAAATACAGAAATGCGGACAAACAAAACACAAATGGCACACACAAAGGCTAGCATCCAAAGAAACAAACGAACCGGTTCACAAATTAGGTAAAAGTTCAACAACTCTTTCCTCTCTCCAACAAGGCACCCCCACTCAAATACAAAACAAATTGGCTTATTCCAGACAAAACCGCCCAAATATAGAGGAAATAAAGTTTCCCGCTGTACACACCGGAGTGACTTACCCTACAGTATAGAGCCCGTTAGCTCCCAAACGTGGATTCCTTGCTCTGCCTGCCAAGTGCTGGGGCAGTCGGTGCTGCTTTGGGGAATTTTGAAGGGCAGATCCTCAGGACGAGTGGTCCTGGCAGCTGCTAGGGCCTTACCCGAGAATTCCTCAACCAGGGTCAGCTGGCCGTGAGCAGCAGCGAGGCTTGCTCACCAAGTCAAAGCCCCTACTGCTCACTGCCACAAGCCGATAAATCAAGAGATGAGTTGTTGGGGGCAAGGAATAGCTACTTTACTTGGAAAGCCAGCTGACCAAGAAGATGGGGGACTTCTGTCCCAAAGAACCATCTTGCCTGAGTTAGAATTCAGCTTCTTTTATACCAAAAAAGGAGGGAGTAAAGTCAAACATTTCTTGGTTCTGGTCAGCCTCCAGAAGGGATGTGTCAATGTCTTCCTTCCTGCACAGGTGGGCCTGGTCAGGATGTTTCCTGTGAGCTAATAAAGGTATTTTATCTTAATGCTCATTACCTGGGAGGCAGGGTTCCCAGAGACAGGCCATTATGTGTAATTTAAGATTATAGGCAACATCCCTTTAGTGATTAAGTTGTAACAGAACACAAAGGTTCTTCCCTATTACGTGATCACCCAGAGTAAAGCAGCCCTTCACTCTCAAGTCATTGCCACGACCAGTTGTCCCTGGCCCCACCCTCATAACCATCTTAGATTTTCTGCTTTCTTACTTATTTTCTGTCTCCTCCCCGCCCCCACCATAATGTAAATGTAAGGAGAGCCCAGGTCCAAGGCACCCTCAATGCCTAACAACACTTGGTGCACAAGAGGCCCTCCATAAATAGCGGCTTCGTGACTGAGCACAGCGGCTGTGCACACCGACATACAGATGCCCAGACAGTTGTAGAGTTTCCTTCTGGGGGCCACTGTCACGCCTTAGAGTTGAGAAGAGAGCATGCCCAGTCACTGACACAATCCAGAGACGAAAAAGAAAAACCCCAAGCCTATCCCAGATGAAGCAGGAAGATGAGGCCCAGATGGAGCTGGAAGAGATAGGAGACAGGATCCAGAGGCAGAGACCCAGACCCGGGGCGAGCTCCGGAGAGAGGGACCGAGAGGGACCAGACTCAGCGAACTAGAGAGGCGGGCCCGTGGCAGCCCGGGCAGCAGCCAGAGACTGTGCCCGGAGGAGGGGCGCGAGCGCGGGGGAAGACGGTGGAAAACCAGCGCCCGAGCCCGGGAGCCCGGGAGCCCGGGAGCCCGGGAGCCCGGGAGCCCGGTCCACCCCGCCCCCGCTCACAAGTGGCCGCGGCAGCTGTCTGGAGCCCGGCCGCCCGCCGGCCCGACGCGTGCGGGATCAAAGCGGCCGGGAAGGGGCGGGCGGGGAGTGGCAGGAACCTGGAGGTGTGAGCGAGCTTCCCAGGGGATGGCCGGAGCGTGGGAGCACAGAGGGCCGGCAGGGGACAGAGTCCTGGAGACACGATCCCAGAGATCGAGACGCAGACGCGGAAAGGGATGCAGAGGCCGGAGAGACCCGGAGCCAGAGATACAGAGACCACAGAAGACCCAGAGAGACCCAGCGTAGCCGTTGTGAAGATACCTGGAAAGAATGTGCAAGAGACAGAGACGCCGATAGAAGGCGGGACAAAAAGGCCGTGACCGTGGACTTAGAGAGAAAGAAGGCGGGCTCCAGAGAACAGAAACAGAGAGCGAGGAAGAGAAAAGGAAAGAAGAGCAACTGGGCCTTAGAGCTCAAGGGGCGGAGGACCTCGCCCCTCCCCCGCGGAGGGCTGAGAGGACCCCCGGGGCAGGGATCCCAGCGCCGGGTCCTTTCTCAGGGTCACGCCTGCGGAGGTGCGGGCAGGGGGCGGAGGGAGGGGTGTGGACAGCCGGAACCCCAGGCTGGGAGGATGGGAGTGTGAGGACGTTCGAAATCAGGGGCTGGATCCGGCGCCTCAAACTCTGCTACAGAGTAAAAAATCTAAGTATTAATATTAATATTTGGTAGAAATCTTAAAGATGCCTTTCAGATACATCAGAAAAGACATCTTTGGAGAAAGGACGAAAAGTCAGATGATGCATTGGCCGGGAATCGAACCCGGGCCTCCCGCGTGGCAGGCGAGAATTCTACCACTGAACCACCAATGCAAGTGAAAGTTGAGCTTCGGTAGATCCAACTCAGTTTGTAAGGAGTCGAGGCGACTACGGCCAGGGAGGCTTTATGGCCAGGAAGGCTTTATAGCCAGGGTCTTCGCAGAGAAACGGTCCCAATAGTTGACATGGGTGGAGCGCCAGGCCATCCTTCCTCCCGCCTGGATCCGGTCACCCGGCCATAAAGTCGCCCCATATGGCCAGGGGCGGCCCCACACCCGGGTGCGAACTGCCGCCGGGGGCCCCGAGCCTCGCGTGCAGGTGAGAAAAACTCAGCCCAGCCCAGGTTCCCAAGGAGGGGGGCAGCGGGGGGTTCTGGGGCCACACATCTGCGCTCCCATTTGGCTCAGGTAGGGGGAGGTGGGATGTGCTGGGTTCCCTGATTCCAAATGGGAGCGCCCTCCCCAAGGTCTGTGTTCCCCTGGCTCGGACTTTGGCAAGGCAGGCTCCGTGAAAAAACCAAGCTGTGGACGGGCGCTGGGAGGGCTCGGAGGAGCCCCATCCGTCTCTGACTCCGCAGCTATCTTCTGACTCGGTCTGCAACGCCACCGTGTCATTCTGTGTCCTTGTCCCTGGCATTCTTGCTGTCCCGTTAAATCTCTGATTTTATCTTCTCAGGCACTTTGTCTTGAAGTCTGCAAGTCTCACGCATCATTCTGCAGAGTGGCATACTCTTGGTTTGAGGTGGGTGTTGATCCCTTTTTTGTTCCCTTTCTTATCTTTTTAAGAAAACTGCCTTCTCCTTGTCCCCCCCATAATCACGAGGGATCCCCAGGAGCAAGCAACACGAGCTCACTTGTATCAGGTGTCCTGGCAGCCACACCCCTGAATCTCCTATAATTAGTTTTGAATCAAATACTTCTAAGTGGAAAGATCTCTCCACCCGTGCTTCAAAGCCTTGCTTCCTCTTCCATGAGGCTTCCCCCACCCCAGTCCAGCCGTCCCTCACGATGACCCTTTCCCAGAGCACCTAATTCACTGTGCTTCTAAAATAGCTACTTGACAACACACAAGCGTTTTCTACTGAAACTTGCAGGAATAAACTGGGCCTCCAGTCCATATCTCAGTACGATCGGTCCCAGCCTAGACCAGTGCCCAGTGGGCACAATGAATACGCAGATATTGGGGAACTGAATATGACTGACTTAGATTGAACAGAGCTTCTCTTCCACCTGCAAAGTCCCAGTTGAATAAACGGATCCAGCCAGCACACTCAGGTGGCTCATTATCTCAAGTAGGAGGTGAATTTTGGGGAAAGATGTATAGGATCCAGCCTAGGGGCTGAGGGATGCTAACTTTTCGATTTCAGGGTTAGTGGGGAGTACAGTGAGCTCCCAAGAAAGCTGAAATAGTGAACGGGGGGGGGAACTCTGAACTCCACTCCTGAGTTCTATCCCCAAACTACTCAAACTCTCTCTTCTCCTAATTACCTCCTCCCTTCAGCTGGGTCCCGCCTCATTATACAGCCTTATGGTCCTTAAACAGCCGGTGCTGCACTGGCCTCTCATTTCCCACACTCCCAGGCCAGTTCCACTCGTACCCCTCCCCCTTGTGCTCCTCCCCTTTCCGGGAGCCTCGTGCCCAGGGTAGAGTCGGGCAGGAGCCAGGTGCCGAAGGGGCGGGTCCGGGTCTTTACCACCCCCTACTCGGGAGCCTGCGGGATATAAGGCTCAGGGAGAGCGGGGACTCGGTCCACACAAGGGTCCGGAGGAGCAATGGTCACCCGGGATCGAGCCGAGAATAGGGACAGCCCCAAGGTGAGAGGCGGGAGAGGAGGAAGCAGAGGTCCCTGGGCTGGTCAGGGGACAGGGTCCCTGAGACCGAAAGTCAGAGAAGAGGCTGGAGATGCAGGGCTGGAAGGGGGAGAGGTGCGCGGGGAACCCGAGGAGCCAGGAGCTGGGGAGGAAGCTGCGAAGTATGGAGAAGGGGTTAGCGTCAGAGCTGGCACTGGGTGGGCGGCAGAAGCAGAGGTCTGGGGCGTAGGTAATGGCAGTTGACACCTTGTGGCCTGGCGGGCTTGGGCGGGGGTCAGAGTCCGAGTAAAATAAGCAGGAGGAGCACAGAGATAAGGGACGAGAGTGGAAACAAAAAGCGGAGAGGATAGGCCCTTGCTCCATGCGGGCTGTGAGCCGGAGGTGGGCCAATGCAGCCTTGTAAGAGAAGGTCTGGAGGGCATTGGTTCCAGAGGCCCGAGCCCAGGTGGAAGATCTTAGAACCAACGGAGAAGGGTGACCGCACAGGCGGGTTAGTGGGAGAAGAGGGGGCGCGGTCGCTCTGGGTATCTCCCTTTCTACACTCAGGGCCACCAACTCAGCCCGCCGCCTTGCGGCCCACGTGTCTGGGCGCAAAGAGGGCCCCCAAAGTTCTCCACTGAGACAGAGAAAGACTGCACGAGACGGAGACGTAGAGAGAAAAGAGGAGGAGGAGAGACACAGAGAGGGGAGGAGGGAGGACAAGAATGAGAGAGGAGAATGCAGAAGACCCGGGAGAGGAGGCGAGCTACAGAAATTGACCCTAGGGGCGTTGGGAGGGGGAGCGGAGAGGGATCGAATGGGTCCGGCCTTAGGTTCTCTGGCGTCTTGGGGAAGAGGTGGAGGCCGGACTATCCCAGCGGCGGGATTCCGACGCCTGCGCGGCCGCGCTGAGTCTCGGTCGGGTCGGCCCGCTCTCCCTTTCCTGCTGGTCGCAGATGCTGAAGCCGCTTGTGGAGAAGCGGCGCCGGGACCGCATCAACCGCAGCCTGGAAGAACTGAGGCTGCTGCTGCTGGAGCGGACCCGAGACCAGGTCAGTTCTTCCGCCATCATCGGACTCCCAAGCATTCCGTCCTCCTGTCTCAGGGCTTCCCACTTGGGTGGGGACATATGCTGCTTTGGCGACCCTGGCCCCAAGGCATCCTGACCCTTCGAATCCCATCCCAGACCCCCTCTCGCTCTCAGAACGCGATCTTCATCGCCACCCCTCGGGTCTGTAAGTTTCACACCCGGCTCTGTAAATTTCATTCCCGGGGGTCAGTTTCAACCTTTGGGTCTGTAAATTCTCCCTCCTCCTCCCCCACACTCTCCGAGATAGCCAGCAAGGTGGTTAATTTCATTCCCCGGGTTTTCTGTTCAAATCCGCTCCTCACACTGTGGGTTGGTTTCATCTCCTCGGGTTGGACAGTTTCGTCTCAGGGTGGGCCAGGACCATTCTTGGTCATCTCCACTCCACATTCGGTAGCGCGCTCTGTGGTCCGCGCACAAACGCGATCCAGGGGCACCCCCAGCTCCCGCATCCCCCCTCCCTTCTTCCCCCTGCCACTTTCCCCCTCTCTCCCCACCCCTTTCTGTCTCTGCGCCCTCCCCTCCCATCTGTAGAACCTCCGGAACCCGAAGCTGGAGAAAGCAGAGATACTGGAGTTCGCCGTGGGCTACTTGAGGGAGCGAAGCCGGGTGGAGCCCCCGGGTACAGCGCGGGGGTGGGGCAGCGGAGGGAGGGAGGGGAGAATTCACTGGGGCCCGGGCCGGGGTAGATGGGGCGGACCCTGTGGTGGACGGTGGGCTTGGGGTGTGGCATGCTCCGCTCCGAGGCGAGGTTAATAATAACACCCGCGCGTGTCTGTCTCTGTCTCCCCCTCATTTTCTCCCTCTGTCGGTCCATCTGGCTTCCTGACTCTGTCTGTGCGCCTGTCCGGCCTCGGTATCTCTGCGCCCCGCCCCTTCCCCCCCCCCTTCTGGGACCCCTGCCCTGCCCTCCCGTCCTCCCGCCGGCCGTACCCGCTGCCGCGGCTTCAGGTGTTCCCCGGTCCCCAGCCCAGGACGCCGAGGCGCTCGCCAGCTGCTACTTGTCCGGCTTCCGCGAGTGCCTGCTTCGCCTGGCGGCCTTCGCGCACGACGCCAGCCCGGCCGCCCGAGCCCAGCTCTTCTCCGCGCTGCAAGGTTACCTGCGCCCCAAGCCGCCCCGGCCGGAACCGGTAGATCCGAGGCCCCAAGCGCCGCGCCCACCGCTGGACCCCGCCGCCCCAGCGCCCGGCCCCGCGCTGCACCAGCGCCCCCCAGTGCACAAGGGCCTCCCTAGCCCGCGCTGCGCATGGTCCCCGTCCCCCTGCTCCCCCCCGAGCCAGGGATTCCGGCGCGCCGGCCCCCCTCACCGGACTGCTGCCGCCGCCGCCGCCGCCGCCTCACAGACAAGACGGGGCGCCCAAGGCCCCGCCGCCCCCGCCGCCCGCTTTCTGGAGACCTTGGCCCTGAGCTTTGGGGGGGTGGGGGTGGGGACGGGGGCTGGGGGGTTGGGGTAGAGACTCCAGCCCGAGCGCAGCAGAGGGACCCGGGCGTTGGGGTGAGGAGGTGTTGGGGAGGGCGGCGGGGCGCGCGTTCGCAGCGCGCGGGTGAGATGTGGTCTATATTAGAGTATCTATATAAATATATATTTCCCTGGTTCCTGTCCCTTCTCCCTGCCCCCTTTGCGTCTAGGATTGTACCCTCTCTGCCCCCGGCCCAGCCCCAGTCCCTTCCCCAGTCCCTAGTGCATGGAATAAAGTGGTTATTAAATCCCCGTGTGTCCCCGAGCCAGGGGCCTGCCTTTATCTCGGCGTCCACGCCCACTTTCCCTCCCATTCTGTCTCCCGCCCCCCCCCCCAAGTCCTGCTCTCCTTGGCCCAAGACCCGGGGCAGACAGGTAAGTAAAGAAGAGCAGAGCGGAGGCTGAGGTTGGAACTGAAACCAGATGGAAAACAGATAGGATGGGGGAGAAGGGATGGGAGCCTTTAAGAAAAAGCCGGATAAAGAGGAAAGGGAAAAAAATAAAATAAAATAAAATCGACTCTGGTGGGATTCGAACCCACAACCTTTGAATCGCTCTTTCGTCACTAGAAGTCCAATGCGCTATCCATTGCGCCACAGAGCCACCTGGCGGGCGGCGGCGTCCGACGGCTTACGGGTACTAGAATGGGAAAGGGGCGGGGGGAGGGGGAGGGTTGTGAGGGAATTGGGCGGGGCGTGTGACAGAAGCGCGTGGTTTGGACCTCAGAGGCTTGCCTGGAAGAGGTAGCGTGCGCAAAGCACGTGAGCCAGGTGGGAGTGCGGGAGCATAGGGGTGGAAGAAACTGGGAGACAGCGCAACTGAATATGAGCGAGCGAGTACAGAGCTCCAGCTGCCCTCTTGGGGGATGCTTCCAGTCCAGGCGCATCCCACTCCCAGATGTGGCCCCACCCATAAGAATAAACTTGTTTTGTTGGAAATTTTCTGTGTCTCTCTGTTTCTTCTGGTCTCTCTGCCTTCCCATCTGCTGCTCCGCTCTCCGAAGGAATCTCGATAGTTGCCAAAGAAGACCAGCCAATTTAGCAGAACTATTTGTAGCTCCACTCCTCCTTTCTAGTCTCTTAGGAAGACTGCGAGGAAAGGTTTCCCCCACGCAGGTAGCGTGGCCGAGCGGTCTAAGGCGCTGGATTTAGGCTCCAGTCTCTTCGGAGGCGTGGGTTCGAATCCCACCGCTGCCAGACCAGAGTTTTTCTCGAGGCTTAAGCACTCTTTAATTCATAAAGTAAATTACTTACTTTTATGAGAACTCCTGGTAGCGGTCTCACCAACGTGTATTCCAGACAGAACTTAGGTCTGCCTCCCAGCCCCAAACCAATACATAATGGAAACTGCCAAAGAAACCTCGGACCTTCATAATCGATCTCCACTTTAACATGTCGTCAAATAACATTCCTATCAAAATTAGTGCAACTTGCTATATATTTAAGTGACTTACTGTATGTTCTCCTGACGGTGTGCTACAGGCTCGAATTACCTAGCCTGAAAAGCTCAGAAGGTAAGACCCTAGTTTAATTTTCTTTCCAGATCCTTTCAGAACATAAGAGAATATCATACATGAAGCTAATGAATAATATAATAGAACATTGGTATTGAGTGAAAACGAAAAAGGAAAGGTTCCACCGAGATTTGAACTCGGATCGCTGGATTCAGAGTCCAGAGTGCTAACCATTACACCATGGAACCCATTCCCTAAGAAAAGCTTCTGACAGTATATATATTATTGTACTTCCTATTCTGTGCCTTTACGTACTTCGCCATTCATAGAAGACAAAAAAGAGTTGTCGGATTAGGGTGGATACCGCTATCGAGCACCTGAAATATGAATTTAAATGTGCTGTAAGTATAAAATACACACTGTAATTAGTACAAAAAATGGTTAAAATTTCATTAATAATTTAAAAATATTGATTACATGATAAAATAAGATTTAGGATATAATGGGTTAAGTAAAGTGTTATTAAAATTAATTTCAAAAAAATTTCACCTATTTCTTTGTACTCTTTTTAATGTGTGGCTCCTAGAAAATTTAAATTCGCATGTATGGCTCGCATATGCACTGCTCTAAAACATCTCCGCTCTCCCTCCACTGTCATTCGTTCTGCCTTCTGAAAAATACCCTGACGCACTTAATACCGTTTCCTCTTAACACCAGGCAGCAATATTTGCGTTACTCTTTTCCTCTGTTATGTTTGAATGAATACAATTATTTACTCAAAAATATTCTAAAGATTTTCATGTACCGGTGGAGAAAAAGGGCAGACGCCCGAACAGGGACTTGAACCCTGGACCCTCAGATTAAAAGTCTGATGCTCTACCGACTGAGCTATCCGGGCTCTGCTACACAAGCGCTTCTACTTCCTATAAGAGTTTCGCATTTACGAAAATGCTGAGGATAAGCGGTATCCTATGCACGCGCGCAGGAGACTACAGAACGCACCTCGAGGAAGCCGGTGAAGCTAATGGCGGATGATTGCGCTTTATCGGACCCCCCTCCGTACAGCGGCCGCACCTGTTAGGACGCTGGGGGCTGGAGCGCCGCGGAGGCTAGGTGGGTGCGGTGTCGGTATCGGCAGCACGGGGGCGCTGCCGGCCGCGGGCTTCCCTCGAGGAGAGGTTTCCTCCCAGTCCGGATGACCGAGACCCCAGGCACCCCACGCACCTGGGCTCTCCCGCCTACCGCCCCAAGGCCAAGGGCGGCCCGGAGCGGAAAGAAGGCCACATGGGGCCTTCAGATGCTGTGCGCCCGGAGACCACTTCGGTCCCCAGACCGGCCCTATTCCAAGCGAGAGACTGAGATCGGGCGTGCCAAGGACCGGGGACACAAGAGGGCCGGGCTTGCGGGTGGTGGTGCCGAGTTTAGGAGGTGACAGGAGGGCTGTTTCTGACCCCTGTGCAGTGTGCAGAGATGCGTGTCCGACTCGCGTGTGGCTGTAGTCACGTGTGATTTACGGCTCACTTGTGTATAGTGATTCACATGGATGATTCACAAGTAGGAATGCGGGTGCCCTGTGGCCAGTTCTGGCTGAGAGGGAGGATGAAAGAGTCTTGGGGGAAGTTGGGGAGTGGGTGGACAAGGGCCCCAGGGCATCAGTCGGCCCCTGACCAGGAGCAGATCAGTGTCCCAGTCATACAGGCATCACCTAATCCCTGTCTCCCTCTCGGCATCTGGTCCTTCCCTTCCCAGTGGGACCCGGGCTCCTGACAATCATCTGGGTGAACCTGGTCCTGCCAGTCAGAGGGACCGGCTGTGCCAGATGCAAACAAACAACTATTAGGGCGAAAGGCTGTGGGCGGGAAGAGGGAGCCCTCAGCTAGCAGCAACAGAGAGCTTCTGGAGCCAGCGAGCCAGCGAGTGAGCCCTAGAGCATCCCAGAGACAGCTGGACTTTTCCTCAAAGGCCTATCCTGACCCCCAGGCTCTGACACAGCGGCTCAGCAGCCCAGCCATGCCTGGCCTGCGGCTCACCTCCTCCAGGCCGGCTGCCAGGGGCATCCTTCCTTCCCTCCCATCAGGGCCGTGTACCGCGTGTGTGTGGGCACTGCTCCCTACCTGATGGCCGGCACACTGGACAACATTTTTGTCACACTGGTGGGCACATGTGGTGAGAGCCCCAAGCAGCGGCTGGATCGCATGGGCAGTGGCTTCGCCCCTGGAGAGAGGGAGGAGCCACCCCGAGGAGCAGAGCGGACAGGGGACCCTGAAGGAGGAGAGGGTCTTTCCTCCAGAGCTCATCAAATCCTGCAGAACTCAGGATGCCGGTCCTGACCTCATCACTACCCCTATTCTGGTCTTGTCTTTTCTGGGGATCATAAACCCTATCCAGGCAGGGCTGTGGAGAAGAAGCCCTGGGCAGTGGCTCCGGAGAATTCCACTGGCTTCCTAGCTCCTCCTCCAGTAACTGAAGGTGGGCTTTGGGGAAGGCGCTTGCCCTCTTTGAGCCTGGGTTTCCTCTTCTCTGGAAGGGGTCCACCTGCCTCTGCCAGGCCCCAGGATTGTTTGCTGCTGGCCTACATAAGGTGAGGGCTCCACGGAGGCTAGGGAGATCCAGAATCCACTCTGCTCACACAGGACTCCTGCAGCGCCGTGGCTGCTACTGCCTGGATGAAGGATGCCTTTTTCTAATTCATGCAAAGGCACCACATGGGTTACTGTCAGCTCGGGTTTATATGTCAGACTAGGTGTCGGTGTAGTCGCACTTTTCAAGGTGCAAGGATGACGTTGGCAGTTCCTTGCCTCTCAACTGCTTGCTCTCTTGCCCCCCAGGTGCAGAAGTACAAGGTACGCTGCTCAGAGGAGCTGGGTGAGCTCTTGCTGCTGCGGCTCCACAAGGAGCGCTACGCTTTCTTCCCCAAGGACTCCTGGTACTGCAGCCGTATCTCCATCACTACCCCTGGTGGTACTCTTTGCCACTTTCCCTGCTATCAGTGGATTGAGGGCTACTGCACCATAGAGCTTCGACAAGGAACAGGCGGGCCAGAGGCAGGGGCTGGCCTGGGCTGCAGAAGACATCTGCTGGGATCAGGGGGAGCTCTCACAAGAGCCCAGGGTGTAGGGAATAGGGCTGGAATTAGGGTAACTGGAACTCAGGGCTCCCAAGTAGGTGCTTTCTGAAAATATAAGCCTCTAACGCCCTGAAATGCAGGGGCTTTCTGGGCAGTATTTACCCACCACCCCCCAGACACACAGAGACTAGGCACACACACACTTACATACACTCACACCACTCAGAAACACACACACAAACACACAGATATGTGTGCTCACCACTGACACCCTCTGCCCTTCCCCAGAGCCAATTCCTCTGAGAGGAATTAACCTGCAAGCTGAGTTACTGAATTTCAACAGGGGGAGAAGCCCTGAATGTTTAGAGAATTTAGCTGGAGAGGCCCTGGCCACTACCACTGGCTTTTCTGGTATGGATGAAGTCCCTGTG